TCCCCCCCCCCCTGTCGGTACAACCTTTGACTAGAAAGAGTGCTCGTGTTTTGATCTCGCTGCAAGACTGGCGTCTCTTCATGGGTCAGCCGTTTAGAGCGGTCGATGCTAGTAGTTCAAACAAACACAGGCACATTCACACACAAGGATAAAAACAGACAACATAACATACACCAAGAGAGAGAGAAAAAAAATTTCCCATTGCACTGTTCGTGCAAAAAAAATAGCACACAAACACACGCACAGAGGATCATGATCATGGACTTTAGAAGCATTTCAGTTTTCAACCGTACTGAGACTGGCGTGCTTTCATTGGCCAGCCGGTTGCTGCTGTAGCGCGGTCGACGCTAGCAACAAAAAAAAAACACACGGAAAGGATATCGTAACAAGAACACCCACACCCACCCACCTTCGTCTTGAAGATCTCGTCCTTCGACAGGTCATACGCCGAGAGCAGACCTCCCAGCTCTCGAATCGTGGTCTCGAACACGCTGACCTCGGACGCGTGGGAGAAAGTCAGCTTGTCCTTCACCCAGTCCCGTGCCCTGTAGAACTCCTCCTTCATGCCCATCAACCAGAGCGTGTCTGATTTGTTTATTTCAAAAAGAAGGGAGACAAAAACGAGAGAACACACACAAAAACGAGAGAACACGCACAAAAACAAACGCAAGAGGCGTCGTTTAACCGTTAGAAAAGCTTTTCTTCACGATTTGTTTTTCACGCCCCACCAAACAAAGCCGCGCCAATCTGTTGCAGACAAAACACAAGCCGAAAACAAAACACGAGATGAACGCACGTGCATCACACAGGCGTTCCGTTCAGCAACAGGTGGCTCGCACCCCAGGGAACCTTCGAGCCCATCTCTTGCCGAACGCACGGGCAGAAAAGAAAAACAAAAAAAAACAACGCACGCACACGCTCGGCCAATCGTTCACGCGTGAAGGAGCTTGTCACACGACACACGACAGAGGGCCAAAAAAAAAAAAGTGTGAGGGGGCCAGCAGCCGGCATCTCGCAAAACGCGCGTACGCACCCAAAGAGTCCACCAGCGTCACGCCCATGCCCCCCCATGGCTGCTTCCCCTTCTTGGCTCTCGGCGCTAGCTCGTCTGCGCCCCAGGCGTGCTGCTCGTAGCCCTTCCAGGCGTGCTGCATGGCCTCCTTCACCTTGGCCGCCCTCTCTCGTCCCTTCCGGTCGCTCTCTTCCTTCGATTGCGGTGTCGCCTGCGTCGTTGTCGTGTTGTGTTGCGACAAGGGACCAGCAGTTGCGGTTGGAAGGAAGGAATGGAGTCGTCGGGGAAGGACGACGCCGGTATATAGTTCTGGCGTCAGCTACTTGGTGGCAAACGGGGGGGGGGGGTCGCACCTTTGACATCCTTGACAAAGTAGTCGCACTTTGACAGCCTTGACAGGCGGTCAAGCGCCAAACGCCTACTCTAAAACTAGTATGTTTTCCCCAAAATACGGCCTTTGGCAAAAGCCGTCAAGAGAGCGACAACCAACACGCTTGTTTTCGTGGAGCACCGCACCCGTTTTCCGTGACATGCAGGGGGAGGGTCTACTACCCGCAAAGCAGTGGTTCCTTTCCACCGCCCCCCCCTCCCCTCCTGTCTCGGCGCCACAGCCATGTCGTCGGCCGGCCACTCCCTTGAAGCGTTTCTGCTTGAACCTCCAAGCCGTGTGACACGTCACTCGTGAGAAACGGTTTACATGGGTACTTCAAGCACGGCTCGTCTAGCAAGCAAGCGCAGCTTGCGAAAAAAAAAAGGCCGGCGAACAGCTTTTCCCCAGCATGGCGGTCCGCGGCGTCTCCGCAGACAGGAGCGGAAGGAGAACGCGCTCCACAACAAACCACAGACCTCCCACAAACAAACATACGCCGCCGGTTGGTTTCTCCTACGCGTGCAGCCTTAGACGATCGACGGCGGCGTTCTCTGCGTCTGCTGTTCGACGAAGGGGGGAGGGAGCGATCACAAGACACTACGGGGTTTTGTATTGTATACGTACCACCATGTCCACGATCGTGTTCACCAGCTAGTCTTCGCCATGTTGCACGACGTCCCCACAAAACACAAACAAACCGGCCAAACAAGGAAACACCAACAAATATACACTCGGGAGTATGAAGGGAAGGGAAAGGGTGGGGGTCGGGTCGGGTCCCCAGCGTGGTTAGGTATTCTTCTCGAAAACCTATCGACAAAAAGGCAAAACGGGAGCACTCACGTCATGTGCGGAGATTCCGTCCTTGAGGTTCTGGTCCACCTTCGGAGGCTCCTGCATGTGCATGAAGTGGTAGGTGCCGCCCTCCAGCCGGCCGGTACCGTTCGCGTGCAAGGCCTCCGCGCCGTCCTTGCAGCAGAAACAGGCAAAAAGCAAGGAAGGCAGACGTCAGAGACGCACGGAAAAAACAAAAAAACGGTGAGTTGACAACCGAGGACTAGGGGGGTGGGCGACTCATAGGACTGAAGGCGCACAAAGCAGATTCGATTCTTCCTCCCAGGAGTACAGAGGATGCGGGGGGGGGGGCGGGGGTTGCCCAATAGGTAGTACGCCACACACACATAAAAAAAAAAATGTGCTTGCCGTCGTACTATGCTATTAATATCTTGCTTTCGGCGTGCAGGCAAACACCGACAAGCGACCAAGTCATAACAGAAGCAGCCGGATCATAACACCACCACCTGAGGCAAGCAACACAGCAGTAGTCTACCAGGTCTCTGCTCCGCCAATACAGCGGACACCGAAGGGGTCCCCGCAGAATCCAAAGTGGCGTACCATAGGTCACACAACTACATATCACACGTGCCCTAGACCGCCGTTCAAAGGACGCCAAGAAAAGCAACAAGACAACAAGGGTACCTTTTCCCTCTCCGCCGAAAACGCCTCGTCAAGCTGCAACGCCAGCAGAAGGTTCACGTAGTGTTCCTTAAGGGACGGCTGCTCCACCGCCTGGGCGATTAGCGAGTCCTCCGATCGCTGCGCCAGATCCTGAATCTGCTCCTCGTTATTTGGTGGTGGCAGGCGGCAGGCGTGTGGGCCGGAGCGACGTCGAGGAAGGGGAAAAACGGCCACGCCTCGAAGGCGAGCATAAGGTGTTTTTTGCCCGTGGCGTGGGCGGTGGGAAAGGCTTATCCACCGTGTCCCCCATGTGTGTGAGTTGGAACCGTTCGTAACATGTAAGCAACGCTAAAAAAATATATATATATTCTGAAAAAAAAAATCAAAATAAGACGTGGCGGAAAAACGATCATGCGGTAAGAACCACAAAGCACCTACAATACTATACCTGCAAAGGCGAAGCAAATACAGTAGTGGGTCCTCATCAACAACAACGGTTGAATATCTCCGGTGGCTGTGTATAGCGCCTGTGGGATTGCTGGGCACTGATCTGAATCACCAAGTAACTATGTACTTTGAATAGCGCCGGTCCCTCTGAATAGAACCGGTCGATTCGCCGCGCACATACGTACCGGCGTTATTGAGGGCCCACTACAGCAACAACGACCTGACAGAACGGCCTTAACGACAGACAGCTACAGCTGCAACAACACACGGTACTCCGTTACCCACCTGGGTGTCGGTTAGAGCACCGCCGAACATGGTAACCGCGCCTATTCTCCCGTCGAAGGGGAAGTCACCGTTCGAGAAGGCGCCGATCTAAGGACGTGCACACACACAAACAAGTAATGGCATTTAGAAGTGTTTTGTGTTTTCAACCGCACTGGGCCTGACGTCTTTTCTTGGTCAGCCGGTTAGCGCGGTCGATGCTAACAATAATAAAAAAACACACACACACAAACAGCGACAGCAAGGCAGCAATTAGCAGGAAAAAACACTTCATTATCCGGGTGTGTAGCGCGGCCGACACCGGACAAGAATGGCACGAGCAACATTCTGAAAGCATGATGAATCCCACGAAGAGCTAGATTTTTCTGTCTGAAACGCTCTCCTATAAAAGCGTGATCTACCCCGAAACACTAGCGTATGTGGAACCGCAGTGCCACAAGTTTCCACAAACGGTGACAAGGAGAAAAAAAAAAAAAGGACAAAACTAGGGTGGACAAACCGATTTTTTTCGAACTGCCCTTGTCCACAGAAATAAAGGAAAATGGTGGTGGTGGGCGCACCTCGAAATGCCGAGAAAATAATCCTTAACTTTGAAGAAGATAGTCTGGGAAAATTCCTCGCCGCTGCCAGGCCGTCGCGACCCGAGGCAACAGAACGACAGCTCCCACATGAGACAGACCCAGCCACCCCTCCGTGAGACCCCAGAAAAGCGAACCAAGAGGTTCGAACCACCACGCCCCAAAGGCGGCGCAACCATCCATAGTAGATCCACACCACCCATAAAGCGAATTCTCCCGTTTTCGCAATATCAAACGTCTGCTAACGACAGACCTAAATCCTCCCGTTTTCACGATACCAAACGCCAGCTAATGATATGTAAGACCTGAAATTCTCCCGCTTCACAATACCAAACGTAATATTGAGTTTCGGTCTATGCACACGACACGACAAGACAACAAACACTTTTCCGTAGAAAAAAAAAAGAAAAAACTCACGGCAAATTCCTCGCGGCTGCCGGGCCGTCGCGACCCCGCCTGGGACGCCACGAGATTGCCGTCCATGAAGACGGAAACCTTCCCGCCCTCTTCCCCCTCGCTGTCGAACCTGGCTGCCACGTGCACCCACTGGCCGACCGGCACTTTTTTCTTGGAGTGGATCTGCTCGCGGGGTATGTTACCGTCGGTTGTTGTTGGGTTGGGATGGGTTGGGGGCACACGGATCCCACGCAAACTTCTCCTCTCTCACGCACACCTATCGATTGGAGCAGCCCTCCCAATGAAATCTTGGAAAAAGACACGTAGAAAATACCCCCCCACACACACACGATTCCGGGTCACAACCATTGCGTAGTTGGGATGGGTTCGGGGCACACGGATACCCATGCAGAGCTCCCTCTTCCTTCCTCTCTCACACATACCTCACCATTAGAGCGGCCCTCCCGATGAAATCTTGGAAAGACACGTACAAAATACAAAATACCCCCCACAAGCACTCTTTCCGATCTACCAACCTTGCCCAACAACGCTCGGCATTTTCACCTTATGACATCCCAGGGCACCGTCCCCCCACTCGAGCCACAGCTGCCCGTCCTTCTTGTTCCAATCGTTCACGTACAGGGCGAAGCCGAGGGCGTCGGAGCCGCAGCCGGACATCTTGTTCCCCAGGACGGTCTTGATGTCTGACATCTCGCGGTCCACGTGGATCCACGCCGAAACCGTCACCTAGGAATTGAACATTTTTACACACAGGACAGATGAGGTCGAGCTATTTAGCTCTTTCGAGGGCATGTGTGTCCCTTGTGATCGGTAGGACACAGGTGATCTGAAGGACAAAGGTGGTCAGGGTAAGTTTGGGTCTGAAGGACAAAGGTGATTGGGGTATGTTTGCCCATGGTGGTACGGAGGACAAACGTGATCAGTTCATGTTTGCCCGAGATTATCTGAAGGACATGGGGTGATCGGCGTATGTTTGTTCCAGGGCGATCTATGCGACACAGGTGCGCTAGCTTATGATCTGTCTTACGCGCGGAAAATTTGTTATTGTTGACGTCGTGGATGAACGAGGTTCGACAAACCCACAAAACAAGAGAGTGCTCCAGTCAGAGGGGGCAGCAGCACAATGAACCTACCAAAGACAGGTCGCCTGTACCTGTACCTGAATACTGTATACCCTCAAATGTCCAACGCCGCTTCGATCCCTCACCTCTTCAGAGTTGTCGAAGGCCAAGCTTCTCTCCCCTACAGTGACGTAAGCCCCCTCCCTAGCGTGGAACGAGTGCTCGTGCAGCCACGGCATCGTCAAGCCCACCCCTGCCCCACCCCCCCCTCCCTCGTCACCGCCTCCTGGTGCCGCCGGAGGCCGCACCTGATGATCACCCCCCCTCGCCTGCGCCTTCCAAGGCGGCAGTGGGGCCGGTTTCTCTCTCTTATTTCGCCCCCCCGCCCCCCCGCCCACTTGCTCCTGCCCACTGGGGTGCTCAAGATTCGGCATGAAGCTGCCCCTTGGTGCATGGTTGCCTGTCGGGCAGCGTGGTTCGCGTTGAAAAAAATGACCCAACGATGTTTTTCGAGCGGTGGTTAGCGTTCAATAAAGTCTTTCTTTTAAGGCAACGGCTCTTTCGAGTGAGGTGAGGCGGGGGCGGGAGGGGGGGGGTCGTTCATCCCCTGGCGGTTAATCTACAGCAGTAGTCCCGAGCCTCTAGTCCCAGGGTCCGATTCCCCATTTGAGCTGTTCGAGCCTCCAAGAGTTCGACGGCACCATTTTTTTTTTTCGTCGTCATGCCGCATGTGTCGTCTACGCTTGTTTCCTCCTCCATGAAACCAGAGGGAGGGGACCACTCAAAAGGCTTTCCTCTCCCTAAGCCCCCCCCCCACGCCCTTTCCACAGCTCGTTCCCAAATCGAATACCAGAGAGAGAGAGCAGCAAATGCAGAACGAGACAGACCCCTCCTGCGTGTGATCAGGTGATTTTGCGTCCCTGAAAATCAACAAGCCGTTATGAAGCGCTCTATGAACTAGCGCTGTACGTATACCCACAGAGGCGCCCAGTACACGTGGATCTGAAAAACAACGTGACATGTGATGTCCATGTTGCCGGATGATGGACAAAAACATGGTGTACCACATGCCCTTTGGAAGCCTTTTGATGAATATGGAGCAAAAATTATGTCGAGACCTATGATAGAATGCTCCCGAGGTGGCATGCGTATGAAACCTGCATACTGCGAGAGGCGTGCGTGTTCCAGCGAGCATCTAGGGGTGCCCTCCATGCACTCGAGCTACTACTGCTGTACAACATGCTCCTCATGATGGCTTGAATGAACCACAGCAGCAATTCATCCTCCGCTGAACCAGCACGAGATATTCTTTTTCGCGGGTGCTGAATGATGTTCCTACTCCCACTGCTCGTGTTGGCGCCAATGAACTACCGAGAGCTGGGTTCAGCACGTTCGTGGTTCTTCAGTGGGCGAACACGGACGCTGTACCCGCTCTCTCGACACCAAAACCCTCCCTTTGCAAGTTCTCGGAAAATAATGCGCAATCCCACGTATCGCAGCAGGACACACGAACAAAGTAAGTAGAACGATTTTCTGGTGGTCTCTCCGCCCGAATTGCGGTCGTGGCGGCCATCACCGCTCCTCTGTGTGGAAACATACAAACAACACCGGCAGGGGCTGCGCGGAGGAGGAGTCACCACGCGCGTGAACCATTTTCGCGAGACCGCCCTTTCCCGTTCGTGTTTAGTGGACCTAGCGCCACTTCCCCGAGCTACATATGGTGCTGTACGAGGCCCCTCTTGTCTGTCTCTTGGCTGTGACCACTACATCATGGGAGCGATGCCATTCGCACAATAGCCCACTCACCGTTATGCAAAGACGTCCCCGACCCGCCGGGAGCCTGGGCGAGCTCAATCCCCGTGAACGTGCCGAGGCCAAAGGCCACAAACACCAGGGTGCCGACGACCAGCACCGACCAGCAGAGGCTGCCCCCGACATTCCTCTTGCTCTTGGAGCTACCGCCGGCCCCGGACCTCCTCCGCCTCGTCGACCACGCGCGCGAGCCGCCGAGCTTGTTCTGGTGGTAGAGCGGGATCTCGGCCTTGGGGGCCATAGCCATGTCTCTCCAGCTCTCCGCCCCGTGCTATGTCCGAGCAGCAGCAGCAGCAGCACGGAGGAGCAGTTGGCAGCGAGAACGGAACGACGAGACGAAGACGGTTTCCTCCGCAGTCCGCTCGACGCAATACACGCTGTGCTGTGGTACGCTGATTTTTCCTCCGCCGCCGTTCATCCGTGGTAGGCCAAATGTTTCGTACTGCGGAACCCCTCACGTACGTCCACGGGTAGAAACAAACAATCATTCCGCCGCACCCACCTGCTGTGGAGAGAGTAGAGAGAGCAACGTGGAGCAGCACACCAACCTCATTACAACGGAGGTGCGCTGCTGGTCAAAAGAGAGATCCGCTCATACGACGGTAGCAGTATCCCTGAGTATGGCGATGTCTATTCCTCCCGGGCTGAAGCCCGTGACGCAGTACGTGCGCCGGGCGGAGAGGCTGGACAAGGCTCCCGAGCCGGAGGCGCCGGTGGTCGCTTACCACTGCCGGATGTACGCGACTGAACAGGCAATGAAGCTGCAGGACAACTCCGAAGCAGGGTGAGCGTGATGCTGGCTTTTTCGAGGAGGGGAAGTGAACCAGTGCACAAGTTGTTGTGAGCACGCTTGTGAATGATTATGTTGAGAGCGATGATGTGTTGGTATCGACGTGTCGACTGCTTCTACATACTTGTAGTAGATCAGGAAAGAAAGGTAGACTGCTGTGCTGTTTTCGGCGTGAGAGCCGATTTGAGACGGGGCGGAAGTTGTTCACATTCGCAGCAGGTACACCTTGCTATAGCTGACACGCGCTATTCAAGCAAGGCATGAAGGAAACCATCAACTGCGCCACCCGCTGGCGTGAAGCAGATAAAAGCAAACGATGTATACGTGCTAGACATACAGCAGGTTTGGAGGTTGTCGTGAACACAGCGAAAATGTGAAGAACCCGGTGAACTTTCTTGAGGTTCTTCGCGAATTCCTTCTACATCATCCAGTCTCTCGAGAACACACCAACTCGCGAAGTCATTGCGATGCGATTTTGCAACCGAACTTCTTCTCTGTACGAAGCTCCCTTGCTGCCTCAGGCCTGGCTCTGTTACGTTGCGGCCTCTCTCGGCGTGCCCACATGCAATCCCCGTTTTTTTGTTTTTGCTTCGTTGCACAAGAGGAAGACCACATTTCTTTCCCCCTGCGGTGCTCTTCCCGGCACAAGACTTCCGTAATCCCCTCACTACCCTGTATACTGCTGTATATTGTACTTACTTGAGCAAGCAGTCTACATGAGGACCGCGTTGTAAACACGCAGCAGTCTGACACGTACAGGAGGGTATCTAAAATGTCGTCGTTCGTAAGTGTCACCCGCTGTATCTGACAATCATCGTTTCTCTGTTGGTGAAAGCCTATTTTATACAAGCCCGTTATCTGGAAAGCTTGTCGCTGCTGCAATCATCGACGCACCCGCACACACGCCGATGCGCTGTGCGCAAGAAGGGCAAACGGCTTTTGTTCTCTCGGTTCGTAAGTCCCCATTCTTCTCAATCTTTGTGGCCAGAATTTGTCTGGCGAAGGTTGTCTGCGTATTCTCGTTTTTTTTTTTTGTTCTCGAACAACGAACGAATATGATCGAACACGCTCGCGCAGATACACCATTGTATTGATGAACGTGCGTTCATAATAGTACCGCCGGACTGTTGAGTACCGAATCAAATGATATAAAGACGCCGACGACCACCTCTGGGGACATTTCTCGTTGTTCATGCAACCAAGAAACAAACGTTATGAACATCATTTCGTTATTTGCTCGATAGATGATTTTGGGTTCGATCGATGGACGCACGGTTTGTTGGAACTCGCTTCCGTTCACGTATCTCCATCCAACGCTGTTCGTCTTTGAGGTAGTGGACACATCAACGCGCACGACTGGGACGCAATTTTGTTGCCCAAGATAAAAGTCTATTTCCAGGCGCTGTCTTCCGAGATTTCTGCCGGTCTGTTCGTTGTTATTCTCGCTCAGGTGAATGTGTACGTAGAATCTTTTTTGGGAAAATAACGCGCGCGACCCGATTGTAATGAATGCAATCATTGGACACGTGAACGCTTGCAGGAAGGCGTTCGTGCTGTCGATGATCGGACGGCTGGAGGAGGACAAGAAGAAGGGAATGGTGCAATTCTCCCAGGAAGAGGGCCAGGTGCGGTGTCGTGAACAAACCCAAGCGTACCGTGTTGGACCCCTCATGACGATCACTCCCCCCCCCCCCTACTACTATAGGATGGGATAGTAAACGAGTTCATGAAGTTTGGGGGCAAGGGGATGATCGAGCTGATGGTACTGCTGTACAACTGGGTGTGGAAAAACGAGTATGCGCCAAGTAGATGGAGGGAAGGAGTGGTTGTGAACTTGTTTAAGAAAGGAGACAAGACTGACCCAGGAAACTACAGGGGTATCACACTGTTGAACACAGTAGGAAAAGTGTTCTGCAAGCTGCTGAACGATAGGATAGTGGGAGTATTGGAGAAGAAACGTAGCATTAGTGAGGGCCAGGCAGGTTTCCGACAGAAGAGGGGGTGCGTAGACCACGCATTCACGGTAGGGAGAATCATCCAAGGTAGAAAGAGGGCGGGCAAGCGGACGTACTGCTTCTTCCTGGACGTGAAAAAGGCATACGATACCGTATGGAGAAATGGGCTGTGGAAACAACTGTCCAAGTACGGGATCAAGGGGAAAATGTGGAGGGTGCTGAAGAAGATGACAGAGTGTACGAAAAGCGCGGTCATGCTAGACGGAGAACTGTCTAAATTCTTCGACATTGAGCAAGGGGTCCCACAAGGTTGCACGCTGTCCCCAACATTGTTCCAGGTGTTCATCAACGATCTGTTGGAAGTCGTAGAGGCAGTCCGGAAGGGAGTAAAAGTAGGGGACACGGAAACTTCGGTGTCAGGAATGCTGTTTGCGGATGACTTTGTTGGTATGTCGGACACCCCTGAGGGACTGCAACTGCAAATTGACGCGGCGAAGAAGTTTACTGATAAGTGGAGATTGTCTGCCAACGTTACGAAGAGTGCCGTCATGGTATGCAACGAGGGCAGGGAGGAACCAGTAGAACATAGATGGAAGTGGGGGATCGAGGAGATTGCAGTAGTCGACCAGTACACATACCTCGGAGTAGAGATCGCAAAAGATTGCTCGTGGAATGCACACATGTCCAAGGTAGCGGAAAAGGGCAAAGCACGAGCAGGGAAGCTTCACCCAATACTCGCAAACCGGCACCTTGATACACGCATCAAATTGACGGTTTTGAAGAGCGTAATCGTACCGCCGCTGGAGTACGCCGGAGAAGTATGGGAAGGAAATAAGAAGGTAGTGAAAGAACTCGAGGCGGCGCAGATGAAAGCAGCGAAAATCATCCTAGGATGCTCCAAGCGCACAAGTAATGCAGCAGTCAGGGCAGAATTGGGGATCCAATCCCTACGGTCGGGAAGAGACGTAAGGAAGCTGACATGGCAGTACCGCATGTGCGGGATGGGAGAGGAGAGGTTGCCGAGAATAGTATGGGAGGCGAAGTGGGCAAACAAAAAGAGGGGTAGACAACCCACGGAATGGGTCAAGGTTGTAGAGGACGTATGGAAGGGATTGGACATCAACGAAGATGAAACGCTGGAAACGGAGGGTCTACAGGGGTTCAAGAAGAAGATATCTGTTGCTTGTGCCGACAGAGAAGAACAGAATCTAAGGAAAGAATCCAAGGATAAGGAGGGTCTAGAAGTGTACGGAATGTTGAAAGAAGGAATAGGGTTCAAGGATTACCTACATGGACCAATGGATGCAGGGACAAAGCTTAAGGTCAAATTCAGGACCGGGGACATAGGCCTTCGCGAACGTCGACGAAGACATAGGACGGTAGACGACGAAGACGACAAGTTCAAATGTGATTGCGGCTTCGAATGCGAAGACAGTGTTCATGTAGTCGCGGAATGTCCGTGGTACGAAAAGGAGAGGGAAGTGTACATGACTGAGCTGGGAAGAATACAAGGGACATACAGGGAGATGTTTGAGGCATGGAATAGAGAGGAGAGGACGGTAGCGGTACTGGGGAGTAGGAAGTGGTTTGAAAAGGCGGGAAGTGACATCGGTAGGATAGACAGACTAGGGAAGACATTTTTGAGCCACCTTTGGCAAAGTAGGAAGGAACGATTGGCCATCGGTGATC